CTCTCTCTCTCTCTCTCTCTCTCTCTCTCTCTCTCTCTCGCTCCCGCTCTCTGTGTGCGTGTGTGGGTCTGTTAGTACATACGTGTGATTGTGTGTATGTGTATAATAGTATGTCTGCCAAAGTGCCTTGTCTTTAACCGCCCCCTTACGAGAGTCAAGAATGGCAAGATAAAGTGGGATAACTGTGATAAAATATGTAGTTTGTAAAAAGTAAGCGTTACTTCCCCTGACATTTAATTTGGGGTTCTTAAAAATGTTCTGTTCTCGAATTTATTCATAATAATTGATTGTTTCATAATCCAATGCATATCAAAACTACATAGATCTAACATAATTTCTTTTTTCAGATTAGCAAGGTGATTGGTTGATGGATCAAGAATTACTTAACAGAATTGTTATCAATCAGGGGCTACGAATATGAGGGGAAAATGTCCGATACACATACGTCATTGCTTTTCATTTCCAAAAACAAAATGTAATATTAGTCTAGAAAAAAAGCTGCAACTCTTTTTCAGTTATCTCCGGCGCGGTAGCTTATTGTTCAGATCAGTGTGCTGAAACTATTATCGAGTAGATGGATATCCCATGACTAATCAACATACACTGATCATCTCTGTGATATACTGACGAAGAGAGTTCATGATAAGCCTCTTAAAAATTCTCTTCCTAAAGTAACTGTCACTGGTGTTGTTGTTGTGCTAGGGAACAAAAGGAATCCAGTAGAGAGAAATACAACCAAGGAATTGTTTTCATGAAATGGCAACTCACAAACACTGGGTAAAGAACAATACTGTTGACATAAAAATTTGAAAACACAACTTTATTGTGTGCATTTGTCAAGTTGGTAACTCTGATCAAAGTTTTCAGACAAGTTCAGCCTCAAGAAGACAAAATCTTGTTGTTCTGTCTGCATTAGATTTTAGTTTCAGAAGAATCATTTTTACTCTAAACCGCTTTTTGTCGCGGCACAGCAGATTTTTTAAAAAGTATCTTAGCTGCGTTATTTATTGCTGAACGAATATTCGTCTCCGAGCCCTCAAGATGCCAGACAATGATGAAGAGGTACGAGTTGAGATGTCGGAGGATCTACCCAACAACACCACTGTTGGTAGCGGCGCAAGCAGCTGGCATCTTAAGCAAGGCATCGTCAACCGTCGTTGTGACGTCATTGAACAGAAAGAGTGAGTCGGTTATGCCGCCTGGTCATAAGAAAAAAAGGAGAAAAATAAAGATGAATTACATTTTTGCCATTTTGGAGTAATGCATGAGTTGTTTCTATGAATTCTATCTACACATTGCTACTCTCTTTAGTTAGAAACCCGGCGTATCATGCGAAATGTCCAAAGCGTCAGTTAAGCTACTTATATTTGTAATTGTATTTTTTTCCTGTATATGTGAAACAACTCTGACTTGTTTCTTGGCTTCTCGGGGGGGGGGGTTCGTA